ACCTGGGAGCATGAGCAGCAGTGTGCAGCGTTTTCCATTCTGTTTTTCAGAAATATAAACGAACAGAAGATGTTAGAGCAGGGCTCGCCAACCCTGTTCCTGGAGAGCTACCGTCCTGTTGGTTTTCAATCCAACCACAGTTGTAGATAATCAACCAGCTAATTATTAGAATCAGGTGTGCTAGATTAGGGTTGGAGCGAAAACCTACAGGAGTGTAGAGCTCCTGGAACAGGGTTGGAGAACCCCGTGTTAGAGAAATAGAAGAACAGAATAGATTATTTAATTTTGTAAGTCAATACAGTTGACTCAACTGCTGTGTGGATCAAAATAAACCATGAAAACGATTAGAGTTAAGACCAAGCGTCTAGGTCTGTAAATTCTACCTTTTCAAGCGGGATGTCATGTGCCTTTTACCTCTCCCCCGAATGCTCAGTTTGGCCGGGCGGCCAGCTCTAGGAAGAGTCTTGGTGGTTCCAAACTTCTTCCATTTAAGATTGATGGAGGCCACTGTGTTCTTGGGGTAGTTCAATGCTGCAGAAATGTTTTGGTACCCTTCCCCAGATCTGTGCCTCGACATGTTGTGGAAAAATCGTCCTTATCCTCATTAAAAATAATGCACTTTCAGATTTTTGTAGAATCAAGATAGACTTTATTACACAAGCAATAGAGCCGAGCTGGTCTGCAGAGCAATTACTTTCCAGCTCTCAGTTCTCATCCTTTATACAGTTTAATTTTTACTCATAATCCACGGCTTCTAGCTTAATCCCTCCCTGGTCAGTTCACTCCATCATTGTTTCCCAACTTTGACCGCCCCGAGTGGCGCAGCGGTCTAAGGCACTGCATCTCAGTGCTTGAGGCGTCACTACAGACCCCCTGGTTCGATTCCAGACTGTTTCACAACTGGCCGTGATTGGGAGTCCCATAGGGCGGCGCACGATTGGCCCAGTGTCGTCTGGGTTTGGCCGGTGTAGGCCATCATTGTAAATAAGAATTTGTTCTTAACTGACTTGCCTTTGTTAAATAAAGGTAAAATAAAAATAAATACATCTCTGTTTGACTCCTCCTCGAGTCACTTTGTTTGTTTTTAATGGTGGCGTAATCTGACTTCTTCTCCTGTTATTACTTAGTTTTTGGAAACAATAGTGGCGTGACCAAACCTATTTAGTAAATATAAACCCTTTAATGCTTCTTAATCCATATACATTTTTTTAAAAATATATATATACGTATAGGCGTTTCATTCTACAGCATGCATGATTCATATAATTGGTTTGTTATGTTGTCCACCTTTGCGTGAGACAGAGTAGTTAACTAAAAATCTCCAATAGACACGATCCTGTCTTGGAGCTCTACAGACAATTCCTTCGACCTCATGGCTTGGTTTTTCCTCTGACCTGCACTGTCAACTGTGGGACCTTATATTGACAGATGTGCCTTTCCAAATCATGTCCAATGAATTGAATTTACCACAGGTGGACTCCAATCAAGTTGTAGAAACATCTCAAGGATGATCAATGGAAACAGGATGCACCGGAGCTCAATTTTGCGTCTCATAGCAAAGGCTCTGAATACTTATGTAAATAAGGTATGTCTTTCATTTGTTTTTATTAGCAAACATTTCTAAAAACCTGTTTTCACTTTGTCATTATGGGGTATTGTGTGTAGATTGATGAGGGGAAAAAATTATGTAATCAATTTTAGAATAAGGCTGTAATGTAAGAAAATGTGGAAAAAGTAAAGTGGTCTGAATACTTTCCAAATGAAAACAAGGTTTGAAATTATTATGTTTTAGTCAAATATTATTTCTGTTTGGGCTTCTTGTGGTCAAAAATAAATAAAAAAAGCTTTAAAAAATGTGCAGTCTACAAATTATTACAGTAATTATGTTGATGTTCTGGGCCCTCCAGCCTGGTGTCATAGACTAGACGTAACATAGTAAATGTAAATCGGCCAACTCAAATTAGTATGATACACTATATATACAAAAGTGGTTTTGGCTATTTCAGCCACACCCGTTGCTGACAGGTGTATAAAATCGAGCACACAGACATGCAATCTCCATAGACAAACATTGGCAGTAGAATGGCCTTCCTGAAAAGCTCAGTTTGTAAAATTTCTGCCCTGCTAGAGCTGCCCCGGTCAACTGTAAGTGCTGTTATTGTGAAGTGGAAACGTCTAGGAGCAACAACAGCTCAGCCTCGAACTGGTAGGCCACACAAGCTCACAGAACGGAACCGCTGAGTGCTGAAGTGCGTAGCGCACAAAGTTTGTCAGTCCTCGGTTACAACACTCACTACCGAGTTCCAAACTGACTCTGGAAGCAACGTCAGCAAAATAACTGTTAGTTGGGAGCTTCGTGAAATGGTTTTCCATGGCCGAGCAGCCGCACACAAGCCTAAGGATCACCATGCGCACTGCCAAGCATCAGCTGGAGTGGTGTAAAGCTCGCCGCCATTGGACTCTCGAGCAGTGGAAACGTGTTCTCTGGAGTGATTAATCACGCTCCACCATCTGGCAGTCCGACGGACGAATCTGGGTTTGGCGGATGCCAGGAGAACGCTACCTGCCCGAATGCATAGTGCCAACTGTAAAGTTTGGTGGAGGAGGAATAATGGTCTGGGGCTGTTTTTAATGGTTTAGGCTAGGCCCCTTAGTTCCAGTGAAGGGAAATCTTAACGCTACAGCATACAATGACATTCTAGACGATTCTGTGCTTCCAACTTTGTGGTAACAGTTTGGGGAAGGCCCTTTCCTGTTTCAGCATGACAATGCCCCCGTGCACAATGCGAGGTCCATACAGAAATGGTTTGTCAAGATCGGTGTGGAAGAACTTGACTGGCCTGCACAGAGCCCTGACCTCAACCCCATCGAACGCCTTTGGGAGGAATTGGAACGCCGACTGCGAGCCAGGCCTAATCGCCCAACATCAGTGCCCGACCTCACTAATGCTCGTGGCTGAATGGAAGCAAGTCCCCGCAGCAATGTTCCAACATCTAGTGGGAAGCCTTCCCAGAAGGGTGGAGGCTGTTATAGCAGCAAAGGGGGGACCACCTCCATATTAATGCCCTTGATTTTGGAATGAGATGTTCGACGAGCAGTGTCCACATACTTTTGGTCATGTAGTGTATGTTACGTTTGGTATGGTTACATAAGACAGATGGTTACTTAAGGTATAAAAAAAAAGTACAGTGGTTGGATGGGTGGGCGTATAACGCGAACGTCCAACTAGCTAACATTAGCCACTTAGCTAGAATTCGTAACAGATCATACATTTAGCAAATTCGTAACATAATACATTTTTCAGATTTGTAGCATATTGTACGTTTCGCAAATTCGTAAAATATAATACGAATTGTAATTAGTAGCATATGAAATGGGTGATGACATCCACAAATTAATACACACCATACCAAATGTAACAACATATTATACTAAATGTCTCAGATTTAGATACAGAATAATACGAAATGCTCTGAGACCAGGTTGGGCCCCCTGACCAGCCGCTCAAGAAAAAAATCGTCCCGCGGCTATATCTATTTGATGATCCCTGTTATAGAGTTTACACTTCCTCTTCCAATTATAATGTGGGGAGGTCAAAATAATTAAAAAAACTATCAACTATAATTAAAAAAAAGTTGATTCCTTCTACTTGCCATTATCATTCACCTGATAAGACGAGGCGTGACATTATTTTTTTTGTTAACGTATGACGGGGGTCCCTTGGTGGCCTGTTTGCCTGGGAGGGGGTCCCTGGGCAAGAAAAGGTTGAAAACCCCTGCTGTAGATTAAAGTGAGAAGCCACGTTGCTGGCTACATTGTATCTGTTAGGGTTTAATAATTATAACATTTCACTTTTTTTTAACTAATTTGACGTACGTAGGCTACATTCATTCACTGGAAGAAAAATAAATGCTGTCAATAAGTTCCCTTGCAAAGAACTCAATGTGCAAAACTAATATTGCAACAGTATGCCATTAAAAGTACTAATATTAGAATGAGTTGGATAAAAGTAACATTACAACGACTGTCAACATTGTCATTGTTGCCCAATCACAGCAGCCGCTACTCAATGAGACTGAATTAGATAGATACAAAACAACTGCATAAATGTCGAACTTACCAAAACTTTGCTTGAATCCTAGTTATAACTTCCAAATGTTTATATATCCACCTACTGAAATAACGAAACCCCTGTACTTTATCAACTTTTCAGTATTTTCCGCTACAATGCCAGACCGCTGCGTTGCCTCTTCTCTACGCCATGTCGAAAATAGGATGATGGGAAGTTGGAAAGTGGAAACGTCATCGCAGGCAGACACATCCCGCCCCGCTCCCGACTGGATTGGTTTGGGAAGAGGAACTTCTCTGGGATCTTTTCAGAGTTTGGGACGTGCCTGCCAATCAAATTTGAAAAAGCAAGACCACCCCATATGGTCTGTAGGGGGCACACAAGTAGCCTAAGTGAAATGGTCTGTGAAATGTATTTTATCATTACTTTTCAAATTTCCTGCTTTATATTGCCCTTCTTTCCACTCATAAATAGAGGGGATAACAAAGATCCCCATTCCCACATATTTTATTTGGCTTTCATTATGTCTCACACACCAAAATAAGTGTTGTTATACAAGAGGACGCTGTAAAACTACATAATGCGAAAAAATGTCAGCTAGAAAACACTAAATCATTAGCTTTTTTGTGAGGACAGAATACAACCGCAAATCTAATAAATATGAAGGCAATACAAAATAATAATTTTGAAAAAACATCTTAGTCCTTATTAATAGAATGCCATTTTGTTCAGGAATGGAAGTCGGCTACAGTAATGCTTTCAAGATCTGTAACACATACAAACACTGATTATAGTCTTGGCCTTTGGAAACTGTTGAAACATTGCACAGCTAGCTAGATTCCAGAGATCGTCTCAGTTCAGTTCATCAGCTGACATCAAAGATAGAATGAAATGAAGGATCCATCCACATCACCTCTCTGTCTGTCTTTACTCAAGCGTGATGTGGCCCTTGGGGGTTCTTTCCACATTCAGTGTTGGGGTCACACTCCAGCATCTCCGTGATCCACTCATCATCCAGGGCCCCCTCGATGAACTCCTCCAGGCTGATGGCTGAATAGAATAATGATATAGAATAAAATAGAATACAATAGAATGATCCAAATTATGTTTACAGCCTTGTATTGGCTGTACACTCACAATATTTAGTTACAATCACAAATCCCAGAAAATACAGTTCAAGGCAGGGCTGGATGATTACAATAGAGGAAGAGGGACTGCAGCAATAGGTAACCAGGTGACTGGGATGCTGTAGGTTTTGTAACCTTAAATTAGGATTACGTTTGTTTTGAAATGGTTTCTGTGCGATCCTTACCATTTTTGTCTTTATCCAATCTTACAAATATTCTGTTGGTGCACTCCTCAGCTGTAAGTGGGTTTGGCTTGGTGAACAAGGCTGCCACACTCATCTTGTACACAGCCTGTGTAATCAGAGACCATATACTTTGTTGTGAAATTGGACATTTAGCACCATCTAGTGAATAACAAGCACAGTAACGTCCGCTACAAATGCAGCTGGGGCAAGCGCCACTGCAACACAGCGCCAGTAGGCTCCCATCCTCCCATAGCACCCACACAAATTCCACTAATGATTCAATGATATTGAATTCCTCTGAGAAGTGATCTGATCTTGAGCAAGGACGTTTGAGCAAGGCAAAGAACAGTAACATTGTTCAATTTGCATCCTCATAATGTGTCCTAGCATTGCACCTACCCCTTGGGATGACAATGAAATATAACGTATTATATAATATCTATATGGTTAGGACGTACCTCCATGATCTCCAGCATCTCTCCCCGCAATATGGCTCCATTTCTGTCTTTATCGTGGAGTTTAAAGGACCAGCATAGCTTCTCCACTGGGGTACCTTCAATCAGCATACTGATGGCTGTCACATACTCCCGTAAATCAACAACCCCATCCTGTGCATAACCCCATAACCTCAGTCTCTCACACAGTACTAAATATTCTAGTAACACTTTACCTTAAGTTGCCCTTATATCTGTGTGGTAACGCCTGTTCCCTATTCCACTTGTGTACAAAAGGCTTAATTCTACTACTACGCAATTACAAGGCAATTACCTGTAGTACTTTTTTTATTTGTATGTACTGACAACATATTAGTACAATTTAGTTATATAATAGTTAGTGATACTACAAAGGTAGCAGAGCAACAAAATGCAAAGTATTGCAAGTATTTTGTAAAGAATTATGCCAAAAACAGTGCAGCAATACAGAGCTGTCTGTTCTGAGGATGGCTAACATTGGAAAAAGTATTGAGAAGACTGAAAAGACTAAAAGTGTGTTTAAAGAAAGACTTGAAGATAAGAAAAGTACATTTTTGGTGCCTACCCTGTTATTATCCAAGGTGCTGAATATCTGCTCAGCGTAGCTGACTCATTGCCCACAGTTTCTCCGGAACTCATGCAGAGTGATCAGTCCACTGGGGCACTCATTCATAAACTTTCTATCACAAATAGACAACCAAAGAAAAGAACAGAGAAATATTTTGAAATGAAAATATTAAATCCTCTAAACTATAAAATTATATCTAATCAATCAATAGCGTAAAAGGATATACAGTGGGGAAAAAAAGTATTTAGTCAGCCACCAATTGTGAAAGTTCTCCCACTTAAAAAGATGAGAGAGGCCTGTAATTTTCATCATAGGTACACGTCAACTATGACAGACAAAATGAGGAAAAAAAATCCAGAAAATCACACTGTAGGATTTTTTATGATTTTATTTGCAAATTATGGTGGAAAATAAGTATTTGGTCAATAACAAAAGTTTCTCAATACTTTGTTATATACCCTTTGTTGGCAATGACACAGGTCAAAAGTTTTCTGTAAGTCTTCACAAGGTTTTCACACACTGTTGCTGGTATTTTGGCCCATTCCTCCATGCAGATCTCCTCTAGAGCAGTGATGTTTTGGGGCTGTCACTGGGCAACACAGACTTTCAACTCCCTCCAAAGATTTTCTATGGGGTTGAGATCTGGAGACTGGCTAGGCCACTCCAGGACCTTGAAATGCTTATTACGAAGCCACTCCTTCGTTGCCCGGGCGGTGTGTTTGGGATCATTGTCATGCTGAAAGACCCAGCCACGTTTCATCGTCAATGCCCTTGCTGATGGAAGGAGGTTTTCACTCAAAATCTCACGATACATGGCCCCATTCATTCTTTCCTTTACACGGATCAGTCTCCTGGTCCCTTTGCAGAAAAACAGCCCCAAAGCATGATGTTTCCACCCCATGCTTCACAGTAGGTATGGTGTTCTTTGGATGCAACTCAGCATTCTTTGTCCTCCAAACACGACGAGTTGAGTTTTTACCAAAAAGTTCTATTTTGGTTTCATCTGACCATATGACATTCTCCCAATCCTCTTCTGGATCATCCAAATGCACTCTAGTCAACTTCAGACGGGCCTGGACATGTACTGGCTTAAGCAGGGGGACACATCTTGCACTGCAGGATTTGAGTCCCTGGCAGCATAGTGTGTTACTGATGGTAGGCTTTGTTACTTTGGTCCCAGCTCTCTGCAGGTCATTCACTAGGTCCCCCCGTGTGGTTCTGTGATTTTTGCTCACCGTTCTTGTGATCATTTTGACCCCACGGGGTGAGATCTTGCGTGGAGCCCCAGATCGAGGGAGATTATCAGTGGTCTTGTATGTCTTCCATTTTCTAATAATTGCTCCCACAGTTGATTTCTTCAAACCACGCTGCTTACCTATTGCAGATTCAGCATTCCCAGCCTGGTGCAGGTCTACAATTTTGTTTCTGGTGTCCTTTGACAGCTCTTTGGTCTTGGCCAAAGTGGAGTTTGAAGTGTGACTGTTTGAGGTTGTGGACAGGTGTCTTTTATACTGATAACAAGTTCAAACAGGTGCCATTAATACAGGTAACGAGTGGAAGACAGAGGAGCCTCTTAAATAAGAAGTTACAGGTCTATGAGAGCCAGAAATCTTCCTTGTTTGTAGGTGACCAAATAGTTATTTTCCACCATAATATGCAAATAAATTCATAAAAAATCATACACAGTGATTTTCTGGATTTTTTTTTCTCAAATTGTCTGTCATAGTTGACGTGTACCTATGATGAAAATTACAGGCCTCTCTCATCTTTTTATGTGGGAGAACTTGCACAATTGGTGGCTGACTAAATACTTTTTTTCCCCACTGTAGATTCAGCTGTATTATGAGTAACGGTTTTAAAACTGCTTTAAAAAGTGGCTGTTTCTTGGTTGAAACACATTTGTACTGTATGTCACAAAGACAGAGTTCCAGAGATTGATAGAAAATGGCAAACAACGGTAGCTAGACTTTAACAGACGCTTAGAATTGACCTTTTCCCTGTCAGTCTCAGAGACTTTTATCCTACTTTTGTCCTAAAAAAGTTCAATGGATTTCTTAAGAGGTTCAATGTGTAATACAGTAGATTGCTTTTCTTGTCTTTAGTTTTTATGGTCACTTTCTGATTGCTATCATTTGTGAACAACACACATTTTATGTTGAACTCAACCTCTACGGGATTGGTGACCCGTATACGGGATGGTTGAGCTAACGTGCGCTAATGTGATTAGCATGACTGTTATAAGTAACAGCAAACCTTCCAGGACATAGACATGTCTTATATGGGCAGAAAGCTTAAATTCCTGTTAATCTAACTGCACTGTCCAATTTACAGTAGCTATTACAGTGAGAAAATACCATGCTATTGTTTGAGGAGAGTGCACAACAACAAATAACTTTTCACGGCAACTGGTTTGATACATTCACCTCTGAAGGTAAATAATGTACTTACATTCAGTAATCTTGCTCTGATTTGTCATCCTAAGTGTCCCAGAGATAAAATGTAGCATAGTTTTGTTTGATAAAATTCATTTTTATATTCAAATGTAGGAACTCGGTTCTACAGTTTGAACCCGTGCTGTCTCTGGCTCCACACCCACCCCGCCCGGCCATCTAGACGTGTGAAAGTTAGTGTATAAGTTAATGATCCATCATGTATAAACTTACATTTTGTATTACCATATCATTTTTGTATGTTCTCTATAGTTATGTACTTGAAAATGTATAAATTGACCAATTCTGCACATTTGGGCAGACTTGATACAAAATAGTCCGTATTGCAATGCTTCACTGGATCAACCTGAAACTTTGCACTTAAACTACAATATTATATTGCAGCCTTTCTCTTGCATTTCAAAGATGATGGAACAAAAAAATTAATGATCTTTTACCAGATCTAATCTGTTATATGCTCCTACATTAATTTCACATTTCCACAAACTTCAAAGCGTTTCCTTTCAAATGGTATCAAGAATATGCATATACTTGCGTCAGGTCCTGAGCTACAGGCAGTTAGATTTGGGTATGTCATTTTAGGCAAAAATTGAAGAAAGAAAAAGGTCAGATCCTTAAGAGGTTAACAAAAAAATTGATGAATATTTTGAAATGACACAGCTAGAATTCTTACCTAAACCACTCATCGAGCTCTGTGACATAGGTAGTTCCTCTCCTGCAGGGTAGATGCAGCCTGTCCCAGCCTCAACAGAATGGACCCGCCACAGTGCCGACTTTATGTACACACCACAACCTGTTTTCACAAAGTGTCTTAGAGTAGGAGCGCTGACATAGGATCAGGTTCCCCCAGTCTTATTTATTATGATCTGAAAAGCAAAACTGATCCTGGATCAGCACTCCTACTCTAAGACGCTTTATGAAAACGGAACCTTATGTCAGCTTACCCGCACGGTATCACATTTGTAAAATTAGGGAAATGTAATCCTCCTAGTAGGTGGGCAAAAAGGAGGAGAGGGAGGGGGTGAGTTTGATCTAAACGTAATTACCAAAAAGCAGCTGTAGTCATGAGTGACCTCATTATCACCTCTACAGGGAAAGTGTCGCAGTAAGGCTATGGATTGAAAGAGGACATTTGTACAGACAGGAAACAACAACATTGACTTAATATGAAGTGCGCATGTGTGTGTGTGTGTATACCCGAAACACCACTGTGAAGTGAAAGGAAACTAATGTTTATTAAGAATAACCTTTTTTTCACAAGACAACTTAGTGAGACAAAGCTTCTCTGCCATAAACCAGACCTGTTGTAGCAGCAATAATGCCATGAACTTTTAAGTGCTTCTTAAGCCCACTAATACAACAAACAAATAAAACATATATACTAACAGTTACACTATATTAAAAAAACTGACAGGTGATTTTGAAGCTGTAGATGTGAGTGTCACTGACTAGCCTCCCCTGCTAACAAACAGCTCTTCTCAGAGCACACAGGTAAACGGCCGTGCTTGTGTGTGGATAGGCTAAAAGGCTAATAGTGGCCAAGTGGGATCCCTGTGCCACAAGCACTCGAAACATGGGTTTGGGGTATATCTAAATTCTAGGGCATCTGCATCAATTGGGAAACAGTTTCTGAAGCCTTATCAGTCCACAGATAACGGTTTATGGTTACTAATTCACAGGCCTACACACATACCGGTCTGTCTCATACCCTAGTTTGTCTTATAAGGCAACAAACACAAAAACAAGTATTTTAAAAAAACAATAAAAGGATACAAAAGCAGCTGCATGCAATAGAATCAGCTAAGCAGGACATAAAAGGAACAAAAAAATAACTACATTTAACTATACCCTGGATAATGTTTAGGATTTCAAACTGGGACAGGAGCAGTTGAGGTTGACTCTAACCAAAGTACAGAACAGTACTCGACTTCCACTCAATGCCACCACACAATGACAATAGGGTGGGCGGTAGCCCTACTGTACAAACGTACACTTGAACGGTCTCACAATTCAGGGCATTCACAAATACATTACAATGATATTAGAAGAAAAAAATAATCTTAAAAACAAAATTCATACAACTTTTTTCCTTTTCTAGGACCAGCCTGTATCTATGGCACATACTTTCACAGCTCGCTTGCTTGTTAAGGAGCACTTGCGCCGCCATTGAAGGCTCTACTGTCTGTGCGTGCCATCATCTGGGATCAGGCTTGTGATTGGCTGGATTTGACGTGCCACCAATCGTGTTTTACAATTCCGATTAATCCCATGATCCAATACACAGTCGCTAGGGGAAATGCCCTACCATTTAATGTGTTGAGAGGTAAGGTGGGACTGAGGGTTTGTAATATACGTCTCAGGTATCCAAAAAGCACAGGTTTTTCATCCATGCAGAAATGGCATGAGGCACTTTAGACACCGACAGGCAGTAGGGGTCCTAGTGGGATTGGTTCCTCCCTCAGTATTGAAGCAAAAGCGGAGGTCCAGAGACAGTGTTCTTCAGAACTCACAATACACCTCCATCCATCCCACCCTCAGAACAGATTACTGGCACAAAACGTGAAGAACAGACATTAAAAAGAGACGACCGTGGTGGATGGGCTAAAACAGCAGTATGCACACATGCATTTTAGTTTAAATAGCATCATTTTCAGACATTTCATGACTTTGGTTCTTCAGTCTTACCTCACATAAGGCTGACACAAAACCATTATTCATTCAAAGCACTGACCATAGACCAAGCAGTGAGACCATAGTGTGATCATATATGGCAGGTGATGGGCTTACTGACATGCCCTCAAGCCACCACATTTAAAAAGCATGCTTCTTATAGTTTGGTGGTGCAATGGTAAGATGGACAACTCCAAATAAAGTAGTTGGCTATTTTTGTTACTTGTTTCTTTGTCCATATGTACCTGTATTACCAATAGCAAAACAAATTTGATCACAAAAAAAGTAATTGGCTATGGAATCCATATTGCTCGATGACAACCCACTGAAATTCTCAATCATGCTTCATATCATATTCTCATTTTGGCAGCATGCCCATTAATTTATAACCTCTGAGCAAACTTGTTTGTCAGACAGGTTAGGTTGTGACTAGGAGTTGGAACCTGTTCGGGGAACAAAACCAAAAAAAATTACATTTTAGAGGAACAGAATCAGAACAAAAGTGATCTATACTGTTCCGGAACAGAACCGTTATTTTCAAAGCAAGGGAACTGGTTAATTAGTTATTTTACGTTCCGGCCATTTTTTTCCCAGTCACTCTGTCACTCAGAAATGTATTCCAGTGTCTGCCTGCCAGCTGGAAATCTTTGCCAGTGTCTGTAGGGTACCTATCTCTCCCACTCCGAAGCCTAGGCTATTAGCCTACTGACATTACAAGTGTGATTCCGAAATTAGGAAGATTAATTTTTTTATTTGAGAAGAATGGATCAACTTTAACACTGCTAGTTAAGGATACTATACTTATCACGTTTCTCATTGGATTTATTAACTACAAAAAGGTAAAACTTGTTTTTATTTTAATTCTGGTGACGCTCTGCACACACACAAGCTTCTGGTCTAAGGTTAAGCCAACTCTTGGAAGTTCAAAAACATTCAACGTTCCTTCATTGAAGCTGCTCCTCCATAGGTATAATTCTGTGGGCCTAATTCAGATAATGCATGTCATAACAAGATGCCCAGAGCTTCAAGCCAAGCCTCCTCCACCCTCTCTCGCTCGCTCTCTCCCCACCCACAAAATTTCAGTCACATCTTGCGCCCTAAACTTGTCTGTCCAATGCATGTAAACAACTATTACAGCTTGCCGACTCCATAGCAAGCTGCTCTATCCACACTGATTAGTCAAGTAATTTAAATGTCGAGCTAAAGATGTTAAAAAAGGTACAGAAAGGAATGATATAAACTGTAATTTTATGGGGGTTCGAACTGGTTCAGAACTTTATTTTGCTGGTCGGAACAGTGGAACGTAACGGAAAATAATTATGGTTCTGTTCAGAACTAACCAATTGTAAAATAATTTGCTACAAACCTTGGTTTTTACCAATAGGCGAGAGAGAGAGATTTATACAGAACATATTGATGTTCTGGAATGTTCACTCTGCATAGTAGTCCCTTAAAGAATCCACACACCACAAACTACTCCGTTTACCTCTTAAGTAGCACCTCCTGAACGAGCCGTATAAGACCGTAGTCTATAAGTGCATTATGAAACATGAAATTAAATCAAAAGCACAGGCGTCATAAAGCCAAGAAACGTTGTAAAAAAAAAAAAATATGAATCACTTTACAACAATACCAACGTCTGTACTGCCACATACTATAGGTGTGTGATATATAGCCTGAGAAATAAACACTGCTACAAGTGATAAAAAAGTGTAAAAGGTTGAATAAACATGAAATGGAGGAATGGAGGGGGTGGTTTCTGTTCTGTTGCTCCCTGAGTGATCCCTGATTCAGAGATCATTTATAAACTGTACACTTTGATATAATGTATTTGATACATCTCAACTTAAATTCTATTATTAAAGTCTATTCCCTTATGACCTCCATTTCTGTTTTTAAGACTGTGTCAAGATTGCGGGTGGATGTGGCATTTAACCATACCAGGTCTTCACACTTCGGTCCAAATGCTGTGTGCCAGAGAGTTGGTGGTTAGGCCGTGACTGAGTGGCACGCACGCACCCACCCACACACTCTGATGGCGGACTATCAATGACTCTCAATGTCAACCAGACCTGTGTTCAAATACATATGTATTTAAGTATTTTCAAATAATGTGGTGCCGAATCAGCTACTTCTATTAGATTTTTCAAATGATTTCATATAAATAGCCTACTATTTGAGCCTAAGTATTTTCAAATGGTTACTTCCAAATATATTATTTCAAATAACCCTAGGACCAAACAGACCTGTGTTCAAATGCATGGTAGTTTTTAAATAATTGTATAAATACTGGTTATTTTCAAATACATGCCAATACTTTCCAAGTGTATTTCCAAATGCATTCCAATATTCAACTACTTGTATCTTCAAATAAAACTATTTCCGCAAACTCCAAACATATCGTGGAGCATGTCGGGATAGCACTTCGCTCTAACGCCTGCAGCCTTGTTGGCTTGGCTGAAGTGGCTATCGTAGTGTCTAATTAGCCCCTACACCCATGATGATTTTCACCCCCTCTGCTTTGGGACATTTGTGCATATGGCGGAGGCACGCGTAAAAGCGCAAATGGAGGGTCAAGGGGCGAAGGGAAGGGAGTGAGTTGGGATTCAGCCAGTCTTACAGGATGTGACACGTGGGGACACAAAATGGCTGCTGCTCAAATAGGCCACACCTCCTAAGGCCACTCCAGAGATTGGGAGACACTGTGGGCGCGTTCCTCTGCCCAGGCATTGCTGACGCATGCCAGATCTTCCAATCCCTGGATAGGTATTTTACGTATTAGCTAACCACATCATATGTTATAGCAATCTGTCAGTCGATGACACAGTCGATGACTTGGCAAGCAATCATTGGTAGATGCATGCAACGTCTGAGCAGGGGAACGTGACCTGTAGGTCTGAGGAAAGCAGATAAGTCAAAACAGTCAAAATGGCCGCCTTAAAGGCTTTTTAGGCACAGCTTCAGACTCTTCTCTTCCACCTAATGAAAGTGGTGGCGAGCTGGTGTCCCTTATCGCCAATCGATCCCATTGTCTTTTTTTAAAGCAGCCACCTGAAGATTACACAGCTTATGTGGAAAAAATTAAACAACAACTAATAAATAAATACAAATCTGTTTTAAAAAGAGAGCTGATACCTGGTGATAGAGAAAACTGTACTGAGGGAAACGCTGTGTTCGGGTCGAGTTATAGAGAACTGCAGTGTGTTTCAGAGAGCCGGGGGGGGGATCAGTGCAGTGTGTGAGATGTGGCGAGTTTCAGTAGAGCTGCGCCAAAGAGGGACCAGTTCAGAGGGACCAGTTCATCTCGTCCATGACCACAGCCTCGCCCAGGTTGGCGTCCGTCTCCAGCAGGCTCATTATCACTGCCATGGCTGCCTCATCATTACTAAGGCCTCCCAGGCCGGGGTCCATCATATTCTCCATATCCAGCTGGGAAGTTTCCCCTGGGGGAGTAGAGACAGTGAAGCAAAGAGAGAGCGAAAGAGAGGGGACAGAGAAAGCGTGAGAGACAGAGGGGAAGAAAGAGAGAGAGCAAGAATATTACCATCACCAAACACTCTCATATCAGTATCACAAAGGACAAGGACAAATTCTAAACTAGTCAAGGTTATAATGGGCTAGATGTGGTGTTGTACCCATGAGTGATTCTCCTGCAGGGAATTGTGGTCTTCTGTGTTCTTGTTGTTCTCCTTCCTCTGAACTGGACTTCCCTGGCATCTCCAGGTCTGCCACCTCTCCATTTGGCACCTCAATGAGACATGGGGAAAAAGTTACTAAAGCAATACATACATTAACACACACACGCTCATGCTCACGCTGACACACTGCGCACACACACTGGAGACTTACGTTGCTGCTGGACAGTGTGAGTTGCAGAGGAGACTTGTCCTTCAGCACAGTGAAGGGGCTGACATTACCGCTGGATGGGGATGAGTTCATCCTAAAACAGACAGATCAAACTGATGACAACAATCACACACACCTCAGGCATTTCTGTACTTGTTTACTGCTTTGGTACAGAGACAACAATGCCAAACAGAATATATCCAGTGACCTGTACCAACTACATCCTTGTTCACATTCAAGCATAGCTAATTCATAATTATATAAATTAAAGAACAACATATTTTGATCTCTAGGCACTCGAGGGTCCAAACTTGTGCGCCTTTTATACCTGCAACTTCTCTGGAGTGTTTTTGACAGCTTATTGCAGTTTCAAAAGTTTCACCAGGAATCACAACACCCGGATCTTGTCAAGAGGGTGCCATGCACTGAAGGTTGCAGATAGAAATGTCTTGTAGAGCTGACACGATTCCCCAAATGACATACCAGTTGTACATCAAATATTTCTATTGGAACGTTGCCCCCCACTGACCCAGTTCTATAGCTATAACTTCACAGGCTGCTATTCTTCATCCACAAGTTGATGGGCATCCAATGACATCATTATCCATAAAGAATAATATACACTGCTCAAAGAAATAAAGGGAACACTAAAATAACACATCCTAGATCTGAATGAATGAAATAATCTCATGAAATACTTTTTTCTTTACACAGTTGAATGTGCTGACAACAAAATCACACAAAATGTATCAATGGAAATCAAATTTATCAACCCATGGAGGTCTGGATTTGGAGTCACCCTCAAAATTAAAGTGGAAAACCACACTACAGGCTGATCCAACTATGATGTAATGTCCTTAAAACAAGTCAAAATGAGGCTCAGTAGTGTGTGTGGCCTCCACGTGCCTGTATGACCTCCCTACAACGCCTGGGCATGCTCCTGATGAGGTGGCAGATTGTCTCCTGAGGGATCTCCTCCCAGACCTGGACTACAGCATCCGCCAACTCCTGGACAGTCTGTGGTGCAACGTGGCGTTGGTGGATGGAGCGAGACATGATGTCCCAGATGTGCTCAATTGGATTCAGGTCTGGGGAACAGGCGGGCCAGTCCATAGCATCAATGCCTTCCTCTTGCAGGAACTGCTGACACACTCCAGCCACATGAGGTGTAGCATTGTCTTGCATTAGGAGGAACCCAGGGCCAACCGCACCATCATATGGTCTCACAAGGGGTCTGAGGATCTCATCTCGGTACCTAATGGCAGTCAGGCTACCTCTGGCGAGCACATGGAGGGCTGTGCGGCCCCCCAAAGAAATGCCACCCCACACCATGACTGACCCACCGCCAAACCGGTCATGCTGGAGGATGTTGCAGGCAGCAGAACGTTTTCCACGGCGTTTCCAGACTCTGTCACGTCTGTCATGTGCTCAGTGTGAACCTGCTTTCATCTGTGAAGAGCACAGGGCGCCAGTGGCGAATTTGCCAATCTTGGTGTTCTCTGGCAAATGCCAAACATCCTGCACGGTGTTGGGCTGTAAGCACAACCCCCATCTGTGGACGTCGGGCCCTCATACCACCCTCATGGAGTCTGTTTCTGACCGTTTGAGCAGACACATGCACATTTGTGGCCTGCTGGAGGTCATTTTGCAGGGCTCTGGCAGTGCTCCTCCTTGCACAAAGGCGGAGGTAGCAGTCCTGCTGCTGGGTTGTTGCCCTCCTACGGCCTCCTCCACGTCTCCTGATGTACTGGCCTGTCTCCTGGTAGCGCCTCCATGCTCTGGACACTACGCTGACAGACACAGCAATCCTTCTTGCCACAGCTCGCATTGATGTGCCATCCTGGATGAGCTGCAACTACCTGAGCCACTTGTGTGGGTTGTAGACTCCGTCTCATGCTACCACTAGAGTGAAAGCACTGCCAGTATTCAAAAGTGACCAAAACATCAGCCAGGAAGCATAGGAACTGAGAAGTGGTCTGTGGTCACCACCTGCAAAAGCAGTCCTTTATTGGGGGTGTCTTGCTAATTGCCTATAATTTCCACCTGTTGTCTATTCCATTTGCACAACAGCATGTGAAATGTATTGTCAATCAGTGTTGCTTCCTAAGTGGACAGTTTGATTTCACAGAAGTGTGATTGACTTGGAGTTACATTGTGTTGTTTAAGTGTTCCCTTTATTTTTTTGAGCAGTGTATATACACAGTACCAGTCAAAAGTTTGAACACACCTACTCATTCAAGGGTTTCTTTATTTTTTACTATTTTCTACATTGTAGAAACTATGAAATAACACATGGAATCATGTAGTACCCAAAAAAGTGTTAAACAAATCAAAATATATTTTATATTTGAGATTCTTCAAAGTAGCCACCCTTTGCCTTGACAGCTTTGCACACTCTTGGCATTCTCTCAACAAGCTTCATGAGGTAGTCACCTGGAACGCATTTCAATTAACAGGTGTGCCTTGTTAAAAGTTAATTTGTGGAATTTCTTTCCTTCTTCATGCATTTGAGCCAAATCAGTTGTGTTGTGACAAGGTAGGGGTGGTATACAGAAGATAGCCCAGCTCACATAAGCAAAGAGAAACGACAGTTCATCATTACTTTAAGACGTGAAGGTCAGTCAATACGGAAAATATAAAGAACTTTGAACGTTTCTTCAAGTGCAATCGCAAAAACCATTAAGCGCTATGATGAAACTGGCTCTCATGAGGACCGCCACAGGAAAGGAAGACCCAGAGTTACCTCTGCTGCAGAGGATAAGTTCATTAGAGTTAACTGCACCTCAGATTGCAGCCCAAATAAATGCTTCACAGAGTTCAAGTCACAGACATATCTCAACATCAACTGTTCAGAGGGGACTGTGTGAATCAGGCCTTCATGGTCGAATTGCTGCAAAGAAACTACTACTAAAGGACACCAATAAGAAGAAGAGACTTGCTTGGGCCAAGAAACAAGAGCAATGGACATTAGACCGGTGGAAATATGTCCAAATGTGAGATTTTTGGTTCCAACCTCCGTGTCTTTGTGAGACGCAGAGTAGGTGAACGGATGATCTCCGCATGTGTGGTTCCCACCGTGAAGCATGGAGGAGGAGGTGTGATGGTGTGGAGGTGCTTTGCTGGTGACCCTGTCTGTGATGTTTCAAGGCACACTTAACCAGCATGGCTACCACAGCATTATGCAGGATACGCCATCCCATCTGGTTTGTGCTTAGTGGGACTATCATTTGTTTTTCAACAGGACAATCACCCAACACACCTCCAGGCTGTGTAAGGGCTATTTGACCAAGAAGGAGAGTGATGGAGTGCTGCATCAGATGACCTGGCCTCCACAATCGTCCGACCTCAACCCAATTGAGATGGATTGGGATGAGTTTGACCACAGAGTGAAGGAAAAGCAGCCAACAAGTGCTCAGCATATGTGGGAACTCCTTCAAGACTGTTAGAAAAGCATTCCAGGTGAAGCTGGTTGAGAGAATGCCAAGAGTGTGCAAAGCTGTCCTCAAGGCAAAGGGTGGCTACTTTAAATAATCTAAAATATACAATATATTTTGATTTGTTTAACACTTTTTTGGTTTCCATATGTGTTATTTCATAGTTTTGTGTAGAATATAGAAAATAGTAAAAATAAAGAAAAACCCTTGAATGAGTAGGTGTGTCCAAACCTTTGACTGGTACTGTATGTATATATATTTATGGATAATGATTATTTACACACACACACATCTCTGCCCTCCCATTTCTCTGCCACATGTCTGTCTACACTGATAGGCTACCACATGCCATCGCCCCACCTGTTGTAGTCCAGCAGCTCATTAGCGATCTGGGTCCCGATACTCCCCGCGTAGACCATGGTACTGGAAGTACTGGAGATCCCCAGGATGATGGGGAGAGACTTATTGCCATCGTCTAGAAGGAAAACATTCATTAGCAACAGGTTAGGTCAATTTAGCTATAGACCTCAATGCTTATATAACACCAAATCGTCAGCGTTTTCAAGTCGACACCTCAACTGACCTTCAGAAGCCTTGGAATTACTCAACTGTTCTGCTTTGTCCCCAGATCTGTCTGTTCGACTGTGGTCACTGCTGGAGACATGAGAGAATGTGGACACATGAAAGAACCGTTTTGGGAAAAAGGTTTGAGAAAAAAGGTTGAATTACAGTGTCACAAACCTACAACAGTACAGAAAGATCAGTGACGATCCTAAGGAGGAGTAAGGATAAGGCTTGTACTTACGATATGACAGTATTGGTTGACACTATGTATTCTACTTCTTTGGTCCAGGGATTTATAAAACTAAACATCTGACTTTGTAGTGTGACAAAAGAGCCATGTTTCGTTCTGAATTTGTAGCAATTTGTCTCTATTTTCTCTTTACTCCGCAGCACTGAAAGGAAAAGGTGTGAAAGTTAGAGGAGATAGAATAAAGAACATATATTTAACATCTAGGTAATGGTTAGAACAAGGGTAATAATAGCCTAAAAGATGCTTATGGCAAGCAAATAGGAATGTTTTTCTTTTTAATTTTTTATGACCATTTCGTTGGAATACCGGAGGGTAACCATGGGAAAACTTGGGGGAATTCTGAAACTAGGAAAAAACATTGAAGTTGGGTAATGCAGACAGGTGCCATGGCATAAAATAGCAACATGGCTCAAAACTAGGACCTTTTCTCCCATGTAGTGGTTTGGGGCCTACTGGTGGGTTGTGGCTAGTCTCTGGCTCCTGGGTTACGATTTGTTTCCAAATTCTAGGAATTCTAGGGAAGACTATGAATGTTTATCGTCTCTCGGGTTGGTCATAGGAAAGGCTTGGGGCGAGCGACAGCATAAACAAGTTCGGTAATCAACCACTGGCTGAACCAACGAAATCCTACCTTTTCGATGACGTTCTGCTAAATGTGGCAAGTCATCTTGATGGAAGTATTCGTAGCATGACGTCCCAAGCAGCTCCTGGGGTAAGTATCCTAGGACAGTGGTGGCTCTGTAAGGAGTAGGTGTAGAACACATTGTTAGTTATCACGTGATTTCAAGTCATTACTTCTTCAGAGGAGCCAATGTGGTTATGAAGAGGTCAGTCTGGCCTCTGTTATTGATGATAAGAACAAATTTGTGCTGTTGTTCAATTAAAGGCAACTCAAGTCTGAGTGATATGTGTCATACGATTCAGTGACCCAGACTCTTGAGAGACACCACATACACACTGTCATGGGTCTCGCGGGATAATTACATTATCCAGTTTTCATTATTCTGTATTTACCATCCAGTGCTTGGAGACCAAGAGGAAGAACTTTGAATTCCTTCCCATTGAGTGTAACATGAACCTAAACATTAAATCAAAAAAGAGAGGAAAACAATCACCGTTGGTCGACGAAGGTGAACTTGCCGTCCATGGCATAGCGTGTGACGAACTCCGTTGCTTTGACCAGGACGTCGTTGACCCCGCTGACCAGAGAGGCAACGTGGGGGTGGACGCGGCCCACGGCCACCAGGCAGCTGAAGTGGGAGCTGTCCTTGTCAGCCTCCCCCTCGCCCCCTTCCTCCCCAAGCTGACTGGTGGGCCAGCTGCGTATGTAGCCCGTGCAGTGGACAGTGCAGTACTTCTCAGACTCTACAGTGGGAGACAGCGCGGCAGGTAGACAATTAAACTTTTTCCATTACAGTTACATCTTTTAATGTACACATTTACATTCATTGTTTAGCAACTATTCCAATCCAGAGAATACATTTAATTAAAAAAATTAAGAAAAAAAAGTCCATTCTGCCTTGCACACACAATAACTTTTAAGGAACAGATGGGAAACTATTTTCCTTCACACCAATCCACAGAGGGGAGACTATTCTCTCAATGTTGTACAGACAGGTTCATATCCATCAAATCTATGAAGACCATACCATACTTTATAATGTGGACAGACTTTTCCACTACCTTTCTTTTTGGAGGTACTGGGCTGGAATTCCTTGTCCTCCTGTTTGACTGATATCTTGTGGTACTTCATGCGGCAGAAGAAGGAGCGTCGCGCACCTGGACACAGCCGAGCTGCTCCGACCGGGAGGTCAGCCTGGACCTGCAGGCCCGCTGGGGAGAGGAAAGGCCGATTAGACAGAGGCATACACACAGTGGAGACTGAGTAACATACACACACATACAATGCCAACTCAATTCCTCTCACATTTACATTTGTAGATTTTTGTCATTTAGCAGATGCTCTTATCCAGAGCGACACACACACACGATAGATCAGCTGAGAATATTCATCACTGCAAGAAACAATACAGGTCTTTTCTATGTCAAAACTACATTCTCAGAAATTGATGTTTTCCACTACAACTGTCCGGCAAGAGTACAACACTGCTTTAAAATTTGAGTCCATAAGGTCCTGCCCACTTCTCAGACAATCATCCCACTGACCCACTGACACAGTGCAGTGTTCTCCATGGCACGGGCCAAGGTAAACTCCACTCCTGAGTCACACACTCCTGAGATGGCAGGGGCCAAGGTAAACTCCACTCCTGAGTCACACACTCCTGAGAGCTTTCCTTCACCGGCTGCTGACTCACTTCCTGGGAGGAGGAACCCTATGTGTTAGGGCGTAACACTGCTCTACTTTTTATGGAAACCACCCAGCCACCTACCACTGTGTCATTTCAGCATTCCTGTGGTCAACATTTTCCTTATGGAAAATACACACACCTTACTTTGCACACCATGTCCCCCGCACACAGCCAAGAGTCACACACACACACTTACTTTTGGCATCTATTAGTCTCTCGCGGGGGTATAACTCAGAAGCTGAGAGCTGCTCCTTTACTTTCCCCATGTCCTTTGGGTGAATGTAGTCAAAGAGACTCTGTCCAATCAGTTCTGTCTGTAAACAAAAACAAACTTCAAAATCAACCAATCAACTCCACTTGCTGATAATAAGTAACAATTTACTTTGACTACATATCCATAACGCATTCATACCACATCTTTAAGCATTTCATGAACGTGTTATAACAGGTCCTAACTGCATTACCAGTGTTAGTGAATATGCCAAACGGCCAAACCATTTTATGCTGAAAATTATGCTGATATATAGCCTGTACTAGCTTCATTTCCCCCACTGGCCAGTGGCTTACCTTCTTCCTCTCACTGAGGCCAAAAGGGGCATGAATATCCCCACAGGGTTGAATCCTCAGGGTACATTTTACGGATTAAAAAGTGTAGTTGAAGTCTTGCGACTTGTGACGGCCGGCCGCCCAACAACCTGCCCGCTTGACCCTATCCCCTCCTCTCTTCTCCAGACCATTTCCGGAGACCTTCTCCCTTACCTCACCTCGCTCATCAACTCATCCTTGATCACTGGCTATGTCCCTTCCGTCTTCAAGAGAGCGAGAGTTGCACCCCTTCTCAAAAAAACTAAACTCGATCCCTCCGATGTCAACAACTACAGACCAGTATCCCTTCTTTCTTTTCTCTCCAAAACTCTTGAGCCTGCCGTCTTTAGCCAACTCTCTTGCCATCTCTCTCAGAATGATCTTCTTGATCCAAACCAGTCAGGTTTCAAGACTGGTCATTCAACTGAGACTGCTCTTCTCTGTGTCACGGAGGCTCTCCGCACTGCTAAAGCTAACTCTCTCTCCTCTGCTCTCATCCTTCTAGACCTATCTGCTGCCTTTGATACTGTGAACCATCAGATCCTCCTCTCCACCCTCTCCGAGTTGGGCATCTCCGGCGCGGCTCACTCTTGGATTGTGTCCTACCTCACAGGTCGCTCCTACCAGGTGGCGTGGCGAGAATCTGTCTCCGCACCACGTGCTCTCACCACTGGTGTCCCCCAGGGATCAGTTCTAGGCCCTCTCCTATTCTCTCTATACACCAAGTCACTTGGCTCTGTCATATCCTCACATGGTCTCTCCTATCATTGCTACGCAGACGACACACAATTACTCTTCTCCTTCCCCCCTTCTGATAACCAGGTGGCGAATCGCATCTCTGCGTGTCTGGCAGACGGATCACCACCTCAAGCTGAACCTCGGCAAGACGGAGCTGCTCTTCCTCCCGGGGAAGGACTGCCCGCTCCATGATCTCGCCATCACAGTTGACAACTCCGTTGTGTCCTCCTCCCAGAGTGCAAAGAACCTTGGCGTGACCCTGGACAACACCCTGTCGTTCTCCGCTAACATCAAAGCGGTGACCCGATCCTGTAGGTTCATGCTCTACCACATTCGCAGAGTACGACCCTGCCTTACACAGGAAGCGGCACAGGTCCTAATCCAGGCACTTGTCATCTCCCGTCTGGATTACTGCAACTCGCTGTTGGCTGGGATCCCTGCCTGTGCCATTAAACCCCTACAACTCATCCAGAACGCTGCAGCCCGTCTGGTGTTCAACCTTCCCAAGTTCTCTCACGTCACCCCGCTCCTCCGCACACTCCACTGGCTTCCAGTTGAAGCTCGCATCTGCTACAAGACCATGGTGCTTGCCTACGGAGCTGTGAGGGGAACGGCACCTTGTACCTTCAGGCTCTGATCAGTCCCTACACCCAAACGAGGGCATTGCGTTCATCCACCTCTGGCCTGCTGGCCCCCCTACCTCTGCGGAAGCACAGTTCCCGCTCAGCCCAGTCAAAACTGTTCGCTGCTCTGGCACCCCAATGGTGGAACAATCTCCCTCATGACGCCAGGACAGCGGAGTCACTCACCACCTTCCGGAGACACTTGAAACCCCACCTCTTTAAGGAATACCTGGGATAGGATAAAAGTTATCCTTCTACCCTCCCCCTACCCCACCCCCCACCAAAAAGAAAAAAAGCATTTATAGTTCAGCACTTCATGGTTATTAACTGTGCAGTTTGCCAATCTGGTAAGTCACAGGCCTATACCGGCTGGTGGGGGAAATGGGGCTAGTACAGGCTATATATCAGTATAATTTTCAAAACGAGGTTTGACCTTTTGGCATATTCACCAACACTGGTATGACAGAAGCACACTTTTGAGAACAGCCATAATGATGACAATATCAAATGTTATTTGTCACATGCGCCGAATACAACATGTGTAGACCTTACAGTGAAATGCTTACTTACAAGCCCTTAACCAACAATGCAGTTTTAAGAAAGAATACCTAAAAAAAATAAAAATAAAAGTAAGAAATAATTAAAGAGTAAAGCAGTAAAAATAACAATAGCGAGACTATATACAGGGGGTACCGGTACTGAGTCAATGTACGGGGGAACCGGTTAGTCGAGGTAATATGTACATGTACAGTTGAAGTCGGAAGTTTACATACACTTAGGTTGGAGTCATTAAAACTAGTTTTTCAACCACTCCACAAATTTCTTGTTAACAAACTATAGTTTTGGCAAGTCGGTTAGGACATCTACTTTGTGCATGACACAAGTAATTTTTCCAATAATTGTTTACAGACAGATTATTTCACTTATAATTCACTGTATCACAATTCCAGTGGGTCAGAAGTTTACATACACTAAGTTGACTGTGCCTTTAAACAGCTTGGAAAATTCCAGAAAATTATGTCATGGCTTTAGAAGCTTCTGATAGGCTAATTGACATCATTTGAGTCAATTGGAGGTGTAACTGTGGATGTATTTCAAGGCCTACCTTCAAACTCAGTGCCTCTTTGCTTGACATCATGGGAAAATCAAAAGAAATCAGCCAAGACCTCAGAAAAGAAATTGTAGACCTACACAAGTCTGGTTCATCCTTGGGAGCAATTTCCAAACGCCTTAAGGTACCACGTTCATCTGTACAAACAATAGTACGCAAGTATAAACACCATGGGACCACGCAGCTGTCATACCGCTCAGGAAGGAGACGCGTTCTGTCTCCTAGAGATGAACGTACTTTTGTGCGAAAAGTGAAAATCAATCCCAGAACAACAGCAAAGGACCTTGTGAAGATGCTGGAGGAAACAGGTACAAAAGTATCTATATCCACAGTAAAACGAGTCCTATATCGACATAACCTGAAAGGCCGCTCAGCAAGGAAGAAGCCACTGCTCCAAAACCGCCATAAAAAAGCCAGACTACGGTTTGCAACTGCACATGGGGAAAAATATCGTACTTTTTGGAGAAATGTCCTCTGGTCTGATGAAACAAAAATAGAACTGTTTGGCCATAATGACCATCGTTATGTTTGGAGGAAAAAGCGGGTGGCTTGCAAGCTGAAGAACACCATCCCAACCGTGAAGCATGGGGGTGGCAGCATCATGTTGTGGGGGTGCCTTGCTGCAGGAGGGACTGGTGTACTTCACAAAATAGATGGCATTATGAGGAAGGAAGATTATGTGGATATATTGAAGCAACATCTCAAGACATCAGTCAGGAAGTTAAAGCTTGGTCGCAGGTAGCGGCAGGTAGCTTAGTGGTTAAGAGCGTTGTGCCAGTAACCGAAAGGTCGCTGGTTCTAATCCCCGAGCTGACTAGGTGTAAAGTCTGTCGATGTGCCCTTGAGCAAGGCACTTAACCCTAATTGCTCCTGTAAGTCGCTCTGGATAATGAACCCAAGCATACTTCCAAAGTTGTGGCAAAATGGCTTAAGGACAACAAAGTCAAGGTATTGGAGTGGCCATCACAAAGCCCTGACCTCAATCCTATAGAAGATTTGTGGGCAGAACTGAAAAAGCATGTGAGAGCAAGGAGGCCTACAAACCTGACTCAGTTACACCAGCTCTGTCAGGAGGAATGGGCCAAAATGGAAGGCTACCCGAAACGTTTGACCCAAGTTAAACCATTTAAAAGGCAATGCTACCAAATACTAATTGAGTGTATGTAAACTTCTGACCCACTGGCAATGTGATGAAAGAAATAAAAGCTGAAATAAATCATTCTCTCTACTATTATTCTGACATTTCACATTCTTAAAATAAAGCGGTGATCCTAACTGACATAAGACGGGGAATTTTTACTAGGATTAAATATCAGGAATTGTGAAAATCTGAGTTTAAATGTATTTGGCTAAGGTGTATGTAAACTTCCAACTTCAACTGTAGGTAAAGTTCTTAAAGTGACTATGCATAGATAATAAACAGAGAGTAGCAGCAGCGTCATTGTAATGATGCATCTATGAAGTTACATAAATATGAGCTATTGCATAGCATGACATTGTTGAATACTTGTTTCTGGTTGGCTTGAAGTGCATCCTAGAGCGTGCATTATTTCCTATAACGCATGGTATATTTGCACGGTAGAATTCAATGGCTATAGTTCATTTTTACATGTTCTATGTTTGAGCTGCTTTTGAAAGGAAAAGTCTAATTGAAAAAATTAATGGCATTGATGAATTAGATTTTCATAATGGCAAGCTACGACTGATGGTTTGGTTAGCTAAACTAGCAAGCCTGGTTGGTTACCATGGCAACGACTGTAGCTATCTAGTAAACTTGCTAGCTACTTCAGTGGATATTAAACACATTTCTACCGACAAATGAACACATTTGTAGCGGCAAATGTGTTAATATTATAGCCATGGTATAGAAGTGATAATCAACTTGGGGCTCTATGCGTTCTCAGGAAAATAATGCAACTTCATGGAAGGTCAGTTCCATCAGAACACATCTTCCACGTCGTTCATTCTTTTCCTTAGAATGCATAGCCCCTTGGTGATTTTCCCTCACATAATGCGGTTGGGACCATTTATAACAAGTTAATCAAACGCTTATAGATTTAATAAATGCATTATGGATATGTATTCCAAGTAAATCATAACCTAACGTTGTTCCAATGCACCCTAAAAAAATGATTGCCAACAAAGAACGTCAGACGTATTATTCTGTAACAGAATCTTTATGTGAATAGTTTGAAAATGTTAGTAAAGCGTATAATGATGAGATTTCTCACCTGGCTGTAATTCAGTGTCTTGGCGACGGACTCTGAGACAAATACTATTTTTCCGCGATCACAGCCCACTACGAACAGGAACCCATCTGCAGCCTTGAGAATGAGGTGTTTGAGCTCGTCATCAGGGAGGAATGAAGGCTTATAATTGGCTTCAGTAAAGGAACAGGTGGAACCTGGGTGAGTATAACACAGAGGTCAGAGAGGACAGAGGATTTGAAGTTTCTGTCAAGTGGCATAAAAGCAATACATTAATGTGTGTGATATTTATGAGCCATTGCCAAACAAATAAATAAATAAATATACTTGTGCCTTTTCTTCATAACAATAATATCAGGTTTACAGTAAGTACAATATACTGCAACATTTGTGACTTCAAATTACCCAAAACTATCTAAGACAAGGTGACAGTTGGCGGTTAAACTATCACCATGTCTCCTAAGACAGTATTAGTATAAATAAAGTATTACCTCGTATTAGTACAGTATTAACTCACATTACTTAAGTTCACCTCATATTTGTAAAGCATTAAGTGGGTGAGCAGGCCAACCAACTGTACAGCAGGCTACCTTTGAGGGATTTGAGGTGCTGCACAGCCATCCTGAGCACAGTGAGTTTGTCCAGCTTGCGGGACATGGGGTTACAGGTGGGGATCATGGCCGACAGCTCGTCGATCAGGTTGTTCATCTTGTCCCGCCGCCGCTTCTCGATCTGGCTGTGAGGTTCCCTGGAGAGAGAGAGAGACTCGCAATGACACCTGATGTGGTGAACCCATTGTCTCTCATGATTTTTTTTTGTAATTTAGCAGACGCTCTTATCCAGAGCGACTTACAGTTATTGAGTGCATACATTTTTTTCATACTGGCCCCCCGTGGGAAACGAACCCACAACCCTGGCGTTGCAAACGCCATGCTCTACCAACTGAGCTATGGGATAGTGTTCTCAAAATTCAACCTAACATTATCCACTTACATTATTCATACTCCTTGACTTAATCCACATTTTGTTGTGTTACAGTCTGAATTCAAAATTGATTAAATATTTTTTTTTAATATCTCCCATCTACACACAATACCCCATAATGATAAAGTGAAAACATGTTTTTAGAAATGTTTGCACATTTATTGAAAGTTAAATACAGAAATATCGATTTTACATAAGTATTCACACCAGAGTCAATACTTTGTAGAAGCACCTTTGGCAGCGATTACAGCTGTGTGTCTTTCTGGGTAAGTCGCTAAGACATCTGCTGATGTAAAAAGGGCTTTATAAATACATTTGATTGATTGATCCACACCTGGATTGTGCAACATTTTCCCATTATTCTTTCCGAAATTCTTCAAGCTCTCAAACTGGTTGTTGATCATTGCTAGACAACCATTTTCAGGTTGTGGTTGGATCTGTGTTTGAAATTCACTGCTCGACTGAGGGACCTTACAGATAATTATGTGTTGGGTACAGAAATTAGCTAGTCATTCAAAAATCATGTTAAACTCTATTATTGCACACAGAGTGAGTCCATGCAACTTATTATGTGACTTGTTCAAAGGTGCACTACGCAGAAATGGTTCCGCCATTTCCTGGTTGCTAAAATTCTAATAGTTAGACTAATTTGAGTTTGTGACAAAACAAGCAAGTATAGTGTAGAGAATCATTGTACAATCTAAACCACTGTGAAATATATTTTCCATAACCAAAAACATAGTATTTTCAGCTGTTAGGAAGCTGGTGTACAAAACCGAAAGTAAAAGACTCAAAACGAAACTCAAGAACGGGATGCATAGAAATAGCGCACATAGAACAAATCTACCGCTTCTTAGACTTGCTTTCAATGAGAATGGCAGATATGTAACTCACATTTCTATTTGAATTTGGTCGCGTCGCCCAAAAATGTACATACTGCAGCTTTAAGCAAAGGGGTTGAATACTTACTGACTCAAAAATGTCAGTTTAAATGTTTTATTAATTTGTAAAAAATGTGAAAAACATAGTTCCACTTTGACATTATGGGGTATTGTGTGTAGGCCAGTGACAAATAAATATCAATGTAATCCATTTTAAATTCAGGCTCTAATAGCAAAATGTGGAAAAGTCAAGGGGTGAGAATACTTTCTGAAGGCACTGCAATCCTTGGATGTAGTTGATTCACCAAGTTTTTGGAAATACTGTATTTCACCCACACTGCCATATTTTATTTTCCATCCATAACTGCATGTATTTACTAGCCTATTACACGATAATTACATAGGATATTCCACTTACACATATAACTCTACCTTATTTAAATTCACATAATACCAATTAAGGTTGCCAGTTTGTTGTCAATGAATAACCCAGATACCTGAAGCATTTGATTTTAGCCTGAGAGTCCTCCCCTTCAGACCTGTAAGAGAGATACAGAGAGTAGATTAAAATCAATTCACATCTAAAGTCTAGTGAATTAATAGTGTGTGTTGAATAGAGTGCTCAGAGTCCTTGAACGGTACCGGTCTTCTTCATCTTTCATATCTGCAACCAGATTGGAGGCCGATTTGGTTTCCCTGGGAACAAAGTGCATGCTTAGATTTCAACTCAAGGCCAATTACTATTACAATTACGGTTTAAAAAAAGCCAATTAGACTGCCTAGTTAGCCTGGCTGACACCAAACATAAGTCCTCCTTACTTCAGTATGGACTATGGAACGGCTGTTAAGATTCTGGGGCGATGTGTCGATAATGAAGGGAGAAGTGCTTTTACTGGTTGGTTCTCATCTGTGTCTTTCTCACTCAAACACCCACATGCACAGCCACACACAGCAAATCCAAACAGTGAAAGGTATCAACCCTCCAGGGAAAGAAACAGATGCAAGTGGGCACATACAGCGCAAACCCCACACACACTAACCGATTAGAAAAATGTTGTACTGTAATTTCATTTACTAAATGAAAATGGTGTCCAATAATCTTGTAAGAGATGGATGTGATAATGGCACAGATATATATAGTACAGTGGCGTAAAGTACTTATGTAAAAATACTTTAAAGTACAACTTAAGTCGTTTTTTGGTGTATCTGTACTTTACTAAATTATTTATATTTTTGACAACTTTTACTTCACTACATTCCTAAAGAAAATATTGTACTTTTTACTCCATACATTTACCCTGACACCCAAAAGTACTCGTTACATTTTGAATGCTTAGCAGAACAGGAAAATTGTGAAATTCACACACTTTTCAAGAGAACACGTGGTCAACCCTACTGCCTATGTTCTGGCGGACTCACTAAACACAAATGCATCTTTTGTAAATAATATCTGAGTGTTGGAGTGTGACCCTGGGTATCCGTACATATCCGTACATAAAAACAAGAAAATGGTGCCGTCTGGTTTGCTTAATGAGGAATTTGAAATTATTTATACTTTCAGTTTTGATACTTAAGTATATTTTAGCGATTTAAATGTACTTTTGATACTTTAGTATATTTAAAATCAAAGACTTTTACTCAAGTAGTATTTTACTGGGTGACTTTCACTTGAGTAACTTTCTATTAAAGTATCTACACTTTTACTCAAGTATGACAATTGGGTACTTTTTCCACCACTGATACAGTACCAGTCAAAGGTTTGGACACACCTACTCATTCAAGGGTTTTTCTTTATTTTCACTATTTTCTACATTGTAGAATAATAGTGACGCCATCAAAACTATGAAATAACACATATGTAATCATTTATTAACCAAAAAAGTGTTAAACAAATCTAAATTACAGTGAGGGAAAAAAGTATTTGATCCCCTGCTGATTTTTACCCACTGACAAAGAAATGATCAGTCTATAATTTTAATGGTAGGTTTATTTGAACAGTGAGAGACAGAATAACAACAAAAATCCAGAAAAACGCATGTCAGAAATGTTATAAATTGATTTGCATTTTAATGAGGGAAATAAGTATTTGACCCCCTCTCAATCTGAAAGATTTCTGGCTCACAGATGTCTTTTATACAGGTAATGAGCTGAGATTAGGAGCACACTCTTAAAGGGAGTGCTCCTAATCTCAGCTTGTTACCTGTATAAAATACACCTGTCCACAGAAGCAATCAATCAATCAGATTCCACTCTCCACCATGGCCAAGACCAAAGAGCTCTCCAAGGATGTCAGGGACAAGACTGAAGACCTACACAAGGCTGTAATGGGCTACAACCATCGCCAAGCAGCTTGGTGAGAAGGTGACAACAGTTGGTGCGATTATTCGCAAATGGAAGAAACACAAAATAACTGTCAATCTCCCTCGGCCTAGGGCTCCATGCAAGATCTCACCTCGTGGAGTTGCAATGATCATGAGAATGGTGAGGAATCAGCCCAGAACTACACGGGAGGATCTTGTCAATGATCTCAAGGCAGCTGGGACCATAGTCACCAAGAAAACAATTGCAGGTCCCCCTGCTCAAGAAAGCACATACAGTGGGGAGAACAAGTATTTGATACACTGCTGATTTTGCAGGTTTTCCTACTTACAAAGCATGTAGAGGTCTGTAATTTTTATCATAGGTACACTTCAACTGTGAGAGACGGAATCTAAAACAAAAATCTAGAAAATCACATTGTATGATTTTTATGTAATTAATTTGCATTTTATTGCATGACATAAGTATTTGATCACCTACCAACCAGTAAGAATTCCGGCTCTCACAGACCTGTTAGTTTTACTTTAAGAAGCCCTCCTGTTCTCCACTCATTACCTGTATTAACTGCACCTGTTTGAACTCGTTACCTGTATAAAAGACACCTGTCCACACACTCAATCAAACAGACTCCAACCTCTCCACATTGGCCAAGACCAGAGAGCTGTGTAAGGACATCAGGGATAAAATTGTAGACCTGCACAAGGCTGGGATGGGCTACAGGACAATAGGCAAGCAGCTTGGTGAGAAGGCAACAACTGTTGGCGCAATTATTAGAAAATGGAAGAAGTTCAAGATGACGGTCAATCACCCTCGGTCTGGGGCTCCATGCAAGATCTCACCTCGTGGGGCATCAATGATCATGAGGAAGGTGAGGGATCAGCCAAAAACTACACTGCAGGACCTGGTCAATGACCTGAAGAGAGCTGGGACCACAGTCTCAAAGAAAACCATTAGTAACACACTACGCCGTCATGGATTAAAATCCTGCAGCGCACGCAAGGTCCCCCTGCTCAAGCCAGTGCATGTCCAGGCCCGTCTGAAGTTTGCCAATGACCATCTGGATGATCCAGAGGAGGAATGGGAGAAGGTCATGTGGTCTGATGAGACAAAAATAGAGCTTCTTGGTCTAAACTCCACTCGCCGTGTTTGGAGGAAGAAGAAGGATGAGTACAACCCCAAGAACACAATCCCAACCGTGAAGCATGGAGGTGGAAACATCATTCTTTGGGGATGCTTTTCTGCAAAGGGGACAGGACGACTGCACCGTATTGAGGGGAGGATGGATGGGGCCATGTATCGCGAGATCTTGGCCAACAACCTCCTTCCCTCAGTAAGAGCATTGAAGATGGGTCGTGGCTGGGTCTTCCAGCATGACAACAACCCGAAACACACAGCCAGGGCAACTAAGGAGTGGCTCCGTAAGAAGCATCTCAAGGTCCTGGAGTGGCCTAGCCAGTCTCCAGACCTGAACCCAATAGAAAATCTTTGGAGGGAGCTGAAAGTCCGTATTGCCCAGCGACAGCCCCGAAACCTGAAGGATCTGGAGAAGGTCTGTATGGAGGAGTGGGCCAAAATCCCTGCTGCAGTGTGTGCAAACCTGGTCAAGACCTACAGGAAACGTATGATCTCTGTAATTGCAAACATTTGGTTTCTGTACCAAATATTAAGTTCTGCTTTTCTGATGTATCAAATACTTATGTCATGCAATAAAATGCAAATTAAGTACTTAAAAATCATACAATGTGATTTTCTGGATTTTTGTTATAGATTCCGTCTCTCACAGTTGAAGTGTACCTATGATAAAAATTACAGACCTCTACATGCTTTGTAAGTAGGAAAACCTGCAAAATCGGCAGTGTATCAAATACTTGTTCTCCCCACTGTATACAGGGCCATCTGAAGTTTGCCAATGAACATCTGAATGATTGAGAGGAGAACTGGGTGAAAGTGTTGTGGTCAGATGAGATCAAAATCGAGCTCTTTGGCATCAACTCAACTCGCCGTGTTTGGAGGAGGAGGAATGCTGCCTATGACCCCAAGAACACCACCCCCACCGTCAAACATGGAGGTGGAAACATTATGCTTTGGGGGTGTTTTTCTGCTAAGGGGAGAGGACAACTTCACCGCATCAAAGGGACGATGGACGGGGCCATGTACCGTCAAATCTTGGGTGAGAACCTCCTTTCCTCAGCCAGGGCATTGAAAATGGGTCGTGGATGGGTATTCCAGCATGACAATGACCCAAAACACACGGCCAAGGCAACAAAGGAGTGGCTCAAGAAGAAGCACATTAAGGTCCTGGAGTGGCCTAGCCAGTCTCCAGACCTTAATCCCATAGAAAATCTGTGGAGGGAGCTGAAGGTTCGAGTTGCCAAACGTCAGCCTCGAAACCTTAATGACTAGGAGAAGATCTGCAAAGAGGAGTGGGACACAATCCCTCCTGAGATGTGTGCAAACCTGGTGGCCAACTACAAGAAACGGCTGACCTTTGTGCCAAAAAGGGTTTTTCCACCAAGTACTAAGTCAAGTTTTGCAGAGGGGTAAAATACTTATTTCCCTCATTAAAATGCAAATCAATTTATAACATTTTTGACATGCGTTTTTCTGGAATTTTCTGTTGTTATTCTGTCTCTCACTGTTCAAATAAACCTACCATTAAAATTATAGACTGATCATGTCTTTGTCAGTGGGCAAACGTACAAAATCAGCAGGGGATCAAATACTTTTTTCCTTCACTGTATATTTGATATTTGAGATTCTTCAAAGTAGCCACCCTTTGCCTTGATGACAGCTTTGCACACTCTTGGCATTCTCTCAACCAGCTTCACCTGGAATTCTTTTCCAACAGTCTTGAAGGAGTTCCCACATATGCTGAGCACTTGTTGGCTGCTTTTCCTTCACTCTGCGGTCCGACTCATCCCAAACCATCTCAATTTGGTTGAGGTCGGGTGATTGTGCAGGCCAGGACATCTGATGCAGCACTCCATCACTCTCCTTCTTGGTCAAATAGCACTTACACAGCCTGGAGGTGTGTTGGTCATTGTCCTGTTGAAAAACAAATGATAGTCCTACTAAGCTCAAACCAGATGGGATGGCGTATCGCTGCAGAATGCTGTGGTAGCCATGCTGGTTAAGTGTGCCTTGAATTCTAAATAAATCACTGACAGTGTCAACAGCAAAGCACCCCCACACAATAACACCTCCTCCTCCATGCTTCACGGTGGGAACCTCACATGCGGAGATCATCCGTTCGCCCACACTGCGTCTCACAAAGACATAGCGGTTGGAACCAAAAATCTCAAATTTGGACTCCAGACCAAAGGACACATTTCCACCGGTCTAATGTCCATTGGTCGTGTTTCTTGGCCCAAGCAAGT